GAGTAAACGATGTACAGGCAAAACGTGACCAAGCCATCGGAAGTGGTGTAAAGTGATTGCTTCTTTTAGTGAACTACTATCTATCTACTATCATCGCATACACGATGATGAATGTTGCCACTACTTATACATAAGGAGTCTGACGGCATACTGATTCTTATTCAGCAACGGCGTCTTGAACGTTGGGCATAACATTTTAAAGCACAACTCACCTAGCTTCCGTCTACACAAGAAATCTTTTGTTCCCTTGTGAAAACCACAGAGGAATTAAATTAATCAAGATCTTCCCTAAAATCCTCGCTGACAATATCTTCCGTCAAATATCGGTCCCACATGAAGAGTGCACGTTTGAGACTCAGGTTGGTTTTATACCTGGTCGAGATTATATCGACCACATCTTCACTCTTGGTGAAGTTCTAGAACACAGACACTGCTTTGGTTGACATCATTTCTGCCTTCCTAGATCTGAAAGCGGCTTCCGACTCAGTGGATGGCTCCAAACACTGGTGCTGCCTTTCCCTAAAGGATCTGCTTGAGAAGTGTATTTCAATATTACGATCCCTCTATATTCATAGCCGAAGTCAAGTTCCTGCTTACTGAAATTTTTCACCCGAGTTCAACACAGAAAGTGATGTTTGCCAGGGTTGCCCTCTCTCTCCCTTTCTATGTAACTTTGTTGTAAATTTGATTCTGGAAACAGCCCTATCCTCGTGCGAAGATAGCAGCATTGATTCACTCCCAGGTGACAGACTATTTGATATGGAGCATGCGGTAGACGTTCTGTTAACCGAAATTGATTGATCGATCGATTGGTTAATCGATTGAATGACTGTTTGAATGCCGGCTTGACTGTATTCGCATGTGGTGCGACGTGTGAGTCGGTGTCGGCCTGCCTACCTGCCTTTTTACACACTGATCTTTCCTATGTGTTTCCTGGTTTGCGAACCGGTTACACATTTGCGTGCTAATTTACCTACTTATTTCTGAACACAAACTAGTGTAACTACATTCGGTATGCGTTTTTGCACCTTCAAAGTGTAAAATGTTGCTCCATGATGAGTTGGTCCAGCACTCAGTCTGACCCTGACCGGAGAAGCAGTAGAGGAAGTAGACAAGTTTTGTTATCCGGGCTGCAATATATTCCCTGGCGGACGCATCA